TATTTATTAATGAACGTAATAGCATAATAGAGAATATTCGATACTGTCCTTTAAAATTTTGGTGAAGGCACTTGTTTCGTGTTCTCGGAAAGTCACTATAGGTTATATGATGAGTGACCCATTTTTAATGGAACACTCCTGTATCTTACGTAATCTTTATGTAAGGATCCTAAAATTTGCTGGAGCAAGAGATATACCAAAAATGCACTCTATGACGAAGTGGGGTCATCTCCAGTGTTATACGCTGCTCGCCAACAGCCATTGAACCCAATTTCCGAAAAATGATATTAGGAGTCAAAATAGGTTGGAAATCACTTTGGATTCGGAATCACGACGCCCAATTCACCAACTAATCATATTTTTCCTGGAAAAATTTCAGTTCAGAAAAATTAAATTTTGTCTCACTTCTCATGGAGGCACCCCCGTATCTTACGTAATTATTGAGGTAGGGTTCTGAAATTTGCAGGAGGAAGGAAGAGTCCAAAGATAAAGTTAATTACGTAAGATACGGAGATGCTTTCTTCAAAAGTGCGACAAAATTTAATTTCCCAAAACTGGAAATTTTATAGGATAAAAATGAATAGTTAGTGAATTGGGTGTCCTGGTTCCGAATTCGAAGTGATTTTCAATCTATTTGGACTCCTTATATTATTTTCAGGAAATTGGGGTAGTTCCATAGCTGTTGGCGAGCAGTGTATTTCACTGAGGATGACCCCACCTGGTCATAGAGTGCATTTTTGGTATATTCCTTCTTTCAGCAAATTTCAGTATCCTTACCCAAAGCTTACATAAGATACAGGGGTGTTTCCATTAGAATTGGGTCACACTGTATATCGATATACAAAAAGTAGAGGATTTAAGACTCAGTATAATCTTCATGTTTACTGCTCAAGTCTTTATTGTAAACTGTGATTGGGAGGTGTTCCTTGAATTATACTTAAATTTCATGATTAGAATTCATGAAACAGAAAAAGAACTTTGTATCTAGGTGACAAATATACGAAGCCCTGGAAGGGACAAATGAAATAAAATAAATAAATTTTAAAATTCCGACTTATATCTCGGAATTTTACATTCACAACTCCGAGTTATGACTAAGAATTTTAAAATTTCGAGTTATAACCAGGAATTTCGCATCCAATATTCCGAGTTATAACTCAGAATCTTAAAATTCCGAGATATAGGTCGGAATTTTGATGTGAAATTCCGATTATAAGTCGAATTTTGAAATTCCGAGCAATAAGTCGAACTTTGATGTAAAATTCCGAGTTATAACACGGAATTTTAAAATTCTGATTTATAACTCGGAATTTTGGATGTAAAATTCCGAGATATAAGTCGGAATTTTAAAATTCCGAGTTAAAACTCAGAATTTTGAAGAGTTATTTTTTTTTATTCTATGTGTCCCTTCCAGGCCTTCGTAGCTTCGTACAAATATTATTAGTTTTTGTATGAAAATATTTTCAATTGGTTCATTTGAGTGTTTGATTTGAAAGCTAGCCCTCTGTAAACAGACGAAGCAGAAAAGAATAACAAAAAATCTGTAGCTTATTACAAATTCTTTTCGGGTTTCGGGTAGTTCTGTCTAGAGATTAACGGCACCATTTATCATTGAGAATCCCATTTATTTCCTCTTGTTCTCCTATTGAATTCCTGGAAGAAAATAACGTGAACATTTGTATGCTCTATAGTGCAACTGCATAGACATCAATTAAACTAGATCGTACATGTAAGCATACCAACTATAAAAAACAATGTTAACAAAATTCTAGTCATTCGTCCGAAACGATTCTCACAGATAGAAAGGTCCAGAGGGAATCTCAACATTATATAACGGTCTAATGAATGAAAAGTTCCCAAATACTTGATTCTATTAGTAAATTTGATTTTTGAATTACATTGGCATTTGTTCATTTCTTTACAATTACTTATTCCATCTTCGTCTCATAATGTCCATGAACTTGCCATCTGTGATGTGAGAGCAACTGAGGGAACTTGATGAAGATAGATATACTGAAAAAGACAAGTTGAAAATTGGTGAATATCCGGCTAGGGTACCTTGGGTTCACCATTCCTGTACTCAGAAGTCTCCTGAGGGAATTATACCAGGTTATATTACTATCTGATTTCTATACCTTTTCAACTTCAATTTCGGAATCGGTGAGTTATATTTCGGAAAAAGTAATCTCGATTTCAGAATTGGTTAGTTCGATTTCAGAAATGGTAAACTCAATTTCAGAATCGGTGAGATGAATTTCAGAAAAAGTCCATTCAATTTCAGAAATGGTAAGTTGTATTTCAGAATTATTATTGGTAGGTTCAATTCCAGAAGATGAAATCCTTTCATATGTTTGATATGTTTTTAATTGCAAAAGAGAAGATTGTTTACAGTGGATGGAACGGTTTAAGAGCCCTATGTTGAATCAGATTGAACATATATGGGGTGCCTTCAAGTCAGAAGTGAAGAGCTTCTTGCAAGAGCATCGCCAAAGGGTCATAGCTGGAGATCCGAACAGATTGCTCAACCAGATAGAATTCAGACTGCGATGTCTTGAAGAATGTGCAGATCATTCAATGAAAATGATAACACCTCAAATGTGTTTGCATTCTTATAATCATGTGCAACGCCACTATCTTCCAGCGATTCAGATGGAAGGCATCTGTGGATTAAATTGTTTTTGAAAAGTTGAATATTTTAAATATGCTCTGTTAATCTCACATGCAATTGGAAACATTTCGAACAAATATAAGGATTTTTTTTATGATATTGAACCTACCAATTCTGAAATACAACTTACAATTTCTGAAATTGAATGGACTTTTTCTGAAATTAATCTCACCGATTCTGAAATTGAGTTTACCATTTCTGAAATCGAACTAACCAATTCTGAAATCGAGATTACTTTTTCCGAAATATAACTTACCGATTCCGAAATTGAAGTTGAAAAGGTATAGAAGTAAGGTTGTCTACAAAAAATGCATGTAATTCAAATCGTCATTTCCTTAGAACCCTCATTTTATCGCGGACTTAGAAAAAGCGAGTAAGCTATTCGGAAGCAGCTACATTTTACGCCCCGTCCCAACTTTTATTCGATTTTTTCATTGTCTCGAATCCACGTATAATTTGAAGTGTAAACTTGGGAAATAGGAACTGGGAAATTGAAGTTTAAAGTTGTGAACATAATGGCATAGACAGAAAACACGTTCCGTTTTCTCCAAGGCGTCACGGATAAAACTTATCGAGTTCCACACGAGTTTTTCATGTGTAGTGGATAAAATGTAGAAGAATATTGTGGAAGGGGAAGGAAATAGCAGCTCAGTTTTCTGACTGAGTTATATATTATATAGGTAACACTGAAGTGGTTGACAATTAAAAAATCTGATGCCGGTCAAGAAAATTCATCAAACACAAATTTCGAAATGAATTATTTAGCTTTAATCGAACTCGTGAAAATCTCATCTATTATCATCTACGATATTTCTCACCTACTAAAATGAATAGACTGCAGGTGCTGCTGAACAAAGTACTTTCGTTTTATCACCAACGGTGATAGATACTCTCTAGTGGCAGATCTTCACGAGAGATGTGGTAATTTGCCAAAAATCAGAGAATTCATTATTAAAACTGCCAATAAGTTTTATAAATATCACCTTAACTCCAAGCGATGAAAAAATATCACTGACACAAGATTACATCACAACATCCATGAAAAATATGGGTTGATATATGCATCAACCGACGATTTTGCAGAACCCAAAAATCTATAGTTGGGAACCTCCCCGAGGTTTCGAAATAGCAACGGGGCCCTGAGGAGGATCTGGACTCCACAATCTCTCAAGAATGAAAGCAAAATTATGTCAAGATCATGCACCCTGTGAGTAACAATCTGATATTGAACTCGGTCAGACGTGTGGGTAAGTCCGCGCCCGACGATTGGCTTCAAAGTCGAGGCAAACGAGAAGGAGGTTTTTGTTTCCCATTCATATTCTCCTCCAACAACGCGTAGAACTCACCACTGATAGCTCCCCCACCCCCTGGGTACCGTCAGTGAGACTACCTATATAAAGAGCCAAGCCCTAGGAGATAGGCATCTATGACTAATACCTCACATATACACTGTACAGACCTGACATAGACCCCATCATATATAAATGTGTTTGTAATTATGTTCTGTATTGTATTCGTGAGAGGAAATAAGAAACTTCAATACATTCAGCACGCCGGCGACTCGGGTTCGATCCCATGCAATAGTCGACTTTTTAGGAATAAGGTTCATTTAGGCCGAGTAACGTTAGATTATTTAAAAAAAGTAGTCTAATCTTAACAGTTAGTTCATGTCGAACCTGTCACTGTCATTGTCTTGATGTCATATGCATATTCTAACTTTAACCTCATTCATTCATTCGTCCCGCCGAAAATGTAAGAGTACATGTAAAATTGCTTTTCTTCATTTTATTTTATTTGATTTTGAACAATGTACTTAGTTTGCTCGAAAAACTTGAATTTTCCAGTGTTGAGCACATAAGAATGTTCTTTTTGTGCTTTAATCTTTTGTAAAAACATTCTGACAAGTGGGTAGAATTTTATTAAAATTCATCAAATTTATTAACCCATTACATAACTTCAAATCAGATTTTCTAATCTTCACTCACTTTCGGAAATTACTCCTGATGATGGCTAGTAGTCGAAAACGTTTGAGAACCAGATGAACAACTAAGAACGGCTGTCGGCCATATCTCAGCAACGAATAATGATACAAGTTTAAGATAGAATAAATCTAATGGTTTGCATATCATTACACGATGTAATAGAGATACGAAATCTCAACAGACCAACGATAACCGCAACATGATAGCTTTTCGCCAACGGAAGATATTAACTATTAAAGTTGAAAGAATGATAGATATGACAGTCGTTTGTTAATATTCTGAATATTACAAAGTACACACAACCTTACCCTTTGTTTAACTATAATAACGACCAGTTCTTTTCATTCCAGCACCTACGACATGCGTGAACGTCCACTTCGAGAACAAGGACGGCGGCTTCTTCATCAAGCAGCAGCCGCGTCAGCACTTCCCGCCCCCGCCTCCGTCCCCTGGCGTCGAGACGTCCACCGCCGGGACGCCAGGTGGCCTTTCGGGCGTCCCTCTCTCCGTCGACCGGTTCACGGTGTTCCAGAGCTCGCAGCCCATTTCGGTGAGAGCCACTTATGGGCCTTTCAGCACCAAGCAGACCGTGCCTGCTAGGTACATCGTGCCGGATCCTTTGCCCTTGAACACGTCAGGTTAGTGGGAAAACAACTATATAATTAGAACACGTTGAATGCCACGTATGGCTGGACAAAACCATCAAAGTGTATATTCATATATCCAGGAAAAGTACTCATACCTTTGTCCACGGGAAAATAATAATTTATTTTACTAGGCAGAAAAGTAGTAGATCGACTGTCGCAGCTGATAGTTCATAGCCGAGCGTAGCGAGACTAGGAATTCAGCCAAGGCAGTCAATCTATATTTGCTGCCGTGTGAAACATAGAATTTTTTCTCCAAATGATATTAAACCAATTTTGTGTAATTTTTTCATTGAAAATCCATCATTTTGTGTTCACCTAATGTCAGTGTCAATTTTGATTACTAATTTCTTGGAACGTTGCATAGCAACGAACTTTTTCTGCCTAGCCAGTAAGAGTACACCTTATCTGCCTGTTAAGCAGCAGGAAAAAGCCACTATCCCTGCCGCTTGGAGGAAAAAGTAATTTATGGAAAGTAACATTTCATAACCTGTCAACTGAGATGATAAGTCGAACTTTTTTCCCGTCATAGAAAAAATACATAATTTTCATTAGGTATTACTATTATTATAATATTATTCATCCACGACTGTATAAAATATTCATGATACCTGTACTTCCTCAAGCGAAACGGTAGCCATTTTCCACACCAGTGAATGATTGCAGTGAATAACCATAATTCACTGGTCTAGAGTTCCTAGGGTACGCGATATAACATATAAGGTATATAAGGTTTGAATGTAATGGGAGGTTACTTTGAGCAGTTTTTATAGTTATTTTGATTTTCATATTCGGTTTTTGTCGTTAGTTGTTATTGTAAATTTATGATTATATGGAAATAAAATCTTATTCTTGGTGTATGTGTGTTGGTGCATTGATTTGTTAATTGGAAATAAGCAGACATGGCCTACTCTTAACAGACTTACATTTGCCAAACATGTCGATTTTATTCTCGGAAATCAAATCGATTCGATAACAGTAACATTTAGGTATAGGGAATGCTCAACAAAAGTAAAAGTGTTTTGTGAGTACTTTTTAAAAATGCCATGAAATACAGGGTGTTTCATTTGAAATAACTGAGAAAATCATCGGCACTAGTTTTGGTTCACCCTGTGTACAAAATGTGAGACATTAAAAACGTGATGGGTTGAAACGAAACTAGACCATCATCAAATTCTTTTGACAATAAAAGCCGAACCCTCAGTTTTTCGTTCTGATTAATACAAGACGAGGATTTCATTGAGATTTTTACATAAAAGTGGCCATATCTCCGAAAGTACTCTGTAGAATCTAGTAAAACCTTATATTGCCAAAATGGAGAAAATGAGTAGAATTCAAATTCAAGATATCATTGAAAAAAACATAACTTTGATATGCTGTGACCCTATAAAACACACTGTATGATTCAAAATGATTTTGAAATGTGGAGCTTGCTTATTACTTCAATTGTGATATTGATTTTTTTTTCGTATTTCTCAAGACAACAGAGCTATCGAACTTCGGAGTATAAGTTGATCATCCTGTACAATGCTTGTTGAACAATATACTATATTATAATTACTAGTTTCATCATTATTATCCCCTTGTAGGCCCGGCCATCGACCTCCAAGACCAAGCCACCCACCACCTGGACATGTCCGCGCACGTCGTCCGCTCCGAGGTGCCACGAGACTCTCCCGTGCTGCGCGTGGTCTTCCACACGGGCACCGACCCCGGCGGCCGCAGACAGGTGCTGCTGGCGCGCAGGCGGCAGAAGGTGTGCGTCGCTCTGCACGCGTCCATGGGAGACAAGACTCCCCTCCACGCCGCTTGCAGTCCGGACGGGGAGGACGGAGTCTGTCTGGCGCAGGTAATCACCTAGTCACGTTCGGTATTTACATCAGCATCAGACTGCTCCGACGAATCTGAATCGTTCGTTTATGACATCTATACCTTTTCAACTTCAATTTCGGAATCGGTAAGTTATATTTCGGAAAAAGTAATCTCGATTTCAGAATTGGTTAGTTCGATTTCAGAAATGGTAAACTCAATTTCAGAATCGGTGAGATGAATTTCAGAAAAAGTCCATTCAATTTCAGAAATGGGAAGTTGTATTTCAGAATTGGTAGGTTCAATATCATAAAAAAAATCCTTATATTTGTTCGAAATGTTTCCAATTGTATGTGAGATTAACAAACCATATTTAAAATATTCAACTTTTCGAAAACAATTTAATCCACAGATGCCTTCCATCTGAATCGCTGAAAGATAGTGGCGTTGCACATGATTATAAGAATGCAAACACATTTGAGGTGTTATCATGTTCATTGAATGATCTGCACATTCTTCAAGACATCGCAGTCTGAATTCTATCTGGTTGAGCAATATGTTCGGATCTCCAGCTATGACCCTTTGGCGATGCTCTTGCAAGAAGCTCTTCACTTCTGACTTGAAGGCACCCCATATATTATGTTCGATCTGATTCAACATAGGGCTCTCATACACCGTTCCATCCACTGTAAACAGTCTTCTCTTTTGCAATTAAAAACATTTCAAACATATAAAAGGATTTCATCTTCTGAAATTGAACCTACCAATAATAATTAATTCTGAAATACAACTTACCATTTCTGAAATTGAATGGACTTTTTCTGAAATTCATCTCACCAATTCTGAAATCGAGATTACTTTTTCCGAAATATAAATCACCGATTCCGAAATTGAAGTTGAAAAGGTATAGATGTAGGGGAAGAAGATCTCATCCCATCGGCAAATGAAATCGGAGCGATCTGACAAAGATCAAAGATCTTAATGCTCGGAGAATTTTGACCGAGCAAAGCGATTGATCTGAATTTGTGAGGTTAATGTTCAAATGTTTATGTATGACTCACCGTTGTGCTCGTATTCTTATTTCCAAAATAACGTTTCCATAATGAAAGGATTACAACTTTTTGATTCTGAGCAAGACCAAACACACACCTTTATGGTGTCAGATGAGAATTATGATGAAATTGTCACAAATAATAGTAAGTGAACACATTTAATCAATGTGTTTAGATGAGAAATTCAAAATTATAATTTTTATATTTTTATAGTTTCTGGTATACTCATATTGAAATGGAAATAAATGAGATAAATAAATGGGGTTAGGTTAGGTTACCGTCATACTTTCAACAAAATGTCCACTTCGTTCGTTTATTGCCAATTGCTCCAATCTATCTGTGACCACGTGACTAGAATCTGCTCTAATCTGCGATGTAAATACCGAACGTGAATATTGTCTCGCCACAGTGTTCACTCAGCACGTATCCAAAACGCCCCGATAACAGGCATAGGAAAGCTTTTAGAATAATCACAACGTTGAGTTTCATGCGTGCGTGTTTTGGCTAAAGTGTTTTGATTCGGAAGGAACATCATTTCGAAATGGTTCGAATTTTGAATCATTCTGGACATTGGAGTCATAATAAACTACTTTTGAAGTTCTGGACCAGGTGAAATATCCTTTATATATATATTTTTTTTGGGGGGGAATTACTTGAGAACAGAATAAAAATAATACTTGACATTCGCAGGGATTACACCCGAACCGCAGGCGTGGTAATCAAACACACAGCTCTTTGTACCACTTGCAATTCTTGCAAACATACTTGAAAACTATTTATATTGATGAATATTTGCCTTTTGAAACTATCGCGTATTGTTGATAGAAATACCGAGAGTAGATATAGTGGTCTTGATGGGAATGGTGGTTCCAGACATTGTTATATCAGGCATACTGAGTTCCGCCTTTTTGGAGAAAATGCAGGTTTCAGTTTTGGTGGCGTTGAATTCAATTATAGGTTGTTGGTTCCCCAGGCTATGATATCAGCAAGATCGTCATTGACAACATTGTCCTACCTTGTTGGTTAGTTCTGAGTTTTTTGGGAAGAAATAGGAATTCTAGAAGAGAACGCAGTATAGAGAGTCATACTGCAAACAATGTTCGGGCCAGAATGGATCCTTGTGGAACGCCGGATTTGATGACATGGCATCAGACGATACCTACACTATCGACCACCACATGGAGCGATCTGCATGAGAAAAAGCTTGATAAATAATAATAATAATAATTATAATAATAATAATAATAATAATAATAGGACTTCATTAGGCGGAAGTTTAGCTACAAAGAGCTATTCTTACACTTTAACCTGAGTGCATAATATATGTATAATAAGTATAGGTATTACAATATATTTTCCAAGAAAACAAACTGAATCTAATTTATAATATTCTTAATATAACTCTTCACTTTTCTATTTTTTGAGTTGTGGAAATATTAAATGTCGTTGAAGTAATCTGTGCATTTAGGTAGATTGTGGTGACGTAGACAAGTAAATCTCCAGTTGATCTCCGGTAGTGAAAGCGAAAGCTCAATGTTGATGGATTTCTCCATCACTTTCGAGATGACTGATAACAGGGCAATTGATCTATAGTTGTTGGGCAGGCTTCTCTTTCCTTTTTTGGAAATTGGTTGGATTCTAGCTAATTTCAGCAGACCCGACTTGTACAATAATGGGTTGAATTTCATCAGGAATGTTAGCCTTATTCGTTTTGAGACAGAGCAGAATGTCTATGATACTGATCCAAAAACAAAGTTTAACTAAAATATTAGTGAGAATTCTCACAGGGCATTGTAGGGCTTGTCAAGACGAGGTTCGTTATACCTTACTTCTGTTTCTCATTTTCAGATAGTCGAACCATTTCGAAGAGTAATTTGTGACGATTGATACTAAGCACGATACATCACGTATGGAATATTTTCAATTTTCGTATCGTTTGTCAAAGTCATAAACCTGAGAGAGCCTGTATATTCATTATAAAGGTACATGACATTACCATCCTTTGTTGTTACAGATTACCATTCCATCTTCTTGGTGGCCGCCGCTGCCAACTCCTGACAAAGATGGCAGACCAGGTAAAATCACCAAGACCCCACCTCGAATCGTCCAGGTTGCCTATTCGGTCCTGGAGCCCTGGCCAGACGAGGGTGAAGGTTGTCACCCGAAGATGCAGGTAAGATTAATATCAATAGAACGGCATAATTTTGGTAGTACAATAATTATATGTAATACCACAAGTGATACTATTTTGCCGGAAATATTCGGCGATTACTACGACAGCTTGTTGCCTAATAATTCCGCGAATGCCATTGTTTATCAAAACTTCAGAACCCTAGGCGAGAAGTTTTGAATGAATGTCATGAGGACATTTGGAGCAAGAAGCTGGAGAATGTTAATCGACTAATATTTCCAGGGAAAATAGCATCACGAGTTGTATTCGTATGAATATTTCATGATTGAGACAATAAACGAGCGCCTCGCGAGAGATGCGCACACTGCATCTATCATTCTAGCTTCCAACATAATTGACGTTATTAACCTCAAATTTTTTATGAAAAACGAGGTTGATTGGTCACGTGTGGGTCGATTCAGCTTGTGTATCGATGGAGCAAGTTTAATAATTTTTAGTAAACGAAATATATTGCTGGAATTAATACAGGTTAATCCGTGAAAATGGTCGATTCTGATTGGTTCTCGAGAACAGGAGTCGAATAGTCCCTATCAAACTCTTCTGAAACGTGAATTGCTAATATGATAGCTTTCGTTTGGATTTTGGAAAAAATATTCATGGATCTCTTTTGTCGTCGGTGAATTTAGTTACGAACCATACCGAACCCTAATATTCACCCACGTGATAATCCCGTGATATCATATTGAATTATAGAGTTATTATTCAATGAAGGAGATGCAAATCACGTTTATAGATTAGCAATAATTGTTTTGCCACAATGATTTCGTGAGTATGTAAGAAATAATAATCTGACCCTCTTTTATCAACAAGATATATCTACTTCGTATTGAAAATGCCGTAATATTAATGGGGAAATAGTGAACAAATAGGTATTTAGATTTCGAAACATTGAAATTACGAAAAATAAGGCAAACTAACGTTCAAAAATAGTAAATACGTTTGTGACAACACGGTAACGGAATGGATACCTCGCACAAGTCTCTTGAAGACTTCTGAGGATTGCTCAGGGGGAACCCAATGACGAATAGACAAAAAAATTCCATAATGTTTGAACAATACCAGAAATTCTGGAGCTATCAAATTCCACGCGCGTTTTTGAATGTTGGATTCAAACACGTTGAGATGTCCTTTAGATAAGCAAAGTAGGATACTAATAAGAAAGAGCTACTATGACGTCGTGGACAAATAACTTAACTTTTTGATCTCTGATAGAAATCCATGTCTGCTCAAAGTGGAGTGGAATTTTCTAAAAGGAGGATGGAATGCTCAAAGTCATCTCCATAACTTTAATAATGATGTAGTCAATCGAAGGGACATCTATCGGACCTATAAAAGTCCATTTTCAGCCATATTTCAAGAGTTACTACAAGCAAAGGCATGTGAAAATATACATATTGTTATGAAACCAAAAATTGACTTACATGGAGGTGAACATTATATGTTTGTAAATGGATGCCGATGTCTGTCATCATCTCTTATTTATTATCAATCACGATATCATGATGACAGACATCGGCATCCATTTAAAAACATATAATGTTCACCTCCATGGAAGACATATTTGGCTTTATAACAATATGTATATTTTCACATGCCTTTGCTTGTAGTAACTCTTGAAATATGGCTGAAAATGGACTTTTATAAGTCCGATAGATGTCCCTTTGATTGACTGCATCATTATTGAAGTTGTGGAGATGACCTTGAGCATTCCTGTCTTCTGTTACTTAACTTTTTGTTCATGCAGGTGCAACCTTCGGTGGTGCTCGGTAACGTACCACTCGTCCCTGCCAAAGGGGCCTACAAGGAGGTGAAGCTGGCCGACGCCATTACTCTGCTGGTTCCGCATCCGCCTCTTTTTCCAATGTCCAGAATGCACGTTCCCGTCTTCGTCGATAGGCAGAAAGCCAAGCTGCTGACCGCCATAGTTGTGAGGTGAGTAGAAACTTAAACCTACCCAGGCAACCAAATGACGAATGATCACGTCACTGTGACGTCCCTAATTAGTAATTTTTCATCGTCAGAGAAGTCACACACCAATTTATGACGTCACTATGACGTACTTTTTATGACGTGATAATTACGTCATCATCTCGACGTCGCGTGAACGTCACTAAGAAGAGTGAAATACGTCAGTTTCATGACGTTTTGTCGACGTCCATGTTCTGCAGACCATATCTAAACCATGTATACTTACATCATCAGGTGAAACCGTTAGGTTTATGTTACGTACCTCAATATACAGGATGGGCATTTTCAGTGTCGAAAAGTTTTCAGAAAAAATCGTTTTTTCATTAATTTTACATATATATAGGAACATGTACGCCTTGATAATTTTATATGTATGCTTGTAACGTCGGTAGAAGTATAACTCATATATATGATCAACTATCAACAAGTAATATTTTACTCTTAATGTTATGTGGCCATTGTGTTGTACAGAACGTTTTCACTTTTGAAAGGATAGGATCATTGTTTATAGCATTTTTCAAAGTTATTTCATACATTCACAGACATTGTAAGTGTATGTTGTCACCTACACAACAGTCCATCTTGGCCGTATGCCACGAACCCATTTGCAGAGCAGCGAAAGCACAGAAGAAAGCAATTATCAATAGATGGACGACAGGCTAAAATGTTCAACAATAGAAAAGTACGAATTCACACTATTGAAAAATCTATTATCAATATAATGAAGCAAAATGAATAATACTAATCAAACTTAAGGATGATTCAACACACATTCCTTTAAGTAAATTTTAAATGTGATAGGTTATTTGGTAATATGATTATTATGAAATTTAATCCAATGCAAACAAGAGTTATAAATAGAGAGATTATTAGATGAAAATCATATTATGAAACAATATGAAATAATAGGATGCCTTGTAGTAGTATTGAATTCCATATATTATTGTTCCGTGGAAGTAAGGAAGCTTGTGTTGCAATATGATTCTATTTTGAATTGTATTTATGTTAAGAAAAAGTCAGGATCTTAAAGCAAACAGAGTTTCTCTGCCTTTCAGAAGAAATATCCGTTTGAGCGACAAACTCAAACATTCACACGTTCATTTTTCTGGTTTTATTTATTTTTCTTCCGACAGCTCACATTATTCTGCTTTGTATTGAGATCGAGTCAATACTGTCACGGAGATATGATTTATTCCATTTCGTTTTGTTTGCTCATTTCCAGAATGTTGGTGATTCTCTGCTTTGTGGTTCATCCGGAGACATTTTGTTTGACACTTATGTTTTTTTTTCTGCGGAACACGAATTTAATGATGAAAATGTTAACAAACAACTATCATAGATGAAACACATTCCCTATGTAACTATTAATCGAGATCCTTCACTCGAAAGTTCAAAATTTCTTCTTCTGTTTTCGCCCGTCTGGGGGACGTATATTACAGCTGTACAGTGTGTCCAGTTCTCGATGATTTTGCGTGATATATCAGTTATCTTTCGAGTTAGAACCTTGTGGTTTTCGAAGTCCTGTGCCACTTTTTTGTGAAACCCAAGATGGCCTTATCAGATTTTTCACTGTTTCCATTTATGGAGATACAGGCCGGGCGATTTTGGAAATTCATACTTTTTTAACCCCCTCTGTATCTACGAAGTTTCTTAGCAAAAATGTCAAATTAAAATCTCATCCTATGAAAAATTTTACGCAGAATATAGGGGTGCACCGGGGGGGTGCACTCAATATTTTTGTCGGGGTATGGTTTTGGAGATACGACTTAAACTTATGATTTTTTGAATGGAACATCCTGTATATTATAAGCTCATAAAATTCCTCATTTTGTTTCCTTCAAGATGATATATAATGTATGGATATAGAATTTTCGAAAATGCTCCTAAATCACTAAAACATTGAATTGTAATAGTGGGCTATAAATTTTTCATATAGAAAAGTTCCAATAGAAGGAATATTTATTTTGATTTTTCCATGACGAGGACAAAAACAATACCAACATTAATTGACTAAGAAAGCACAAAAATTAGGTACCTGATAGCAACAAATGAATAGTAATAAAAAGTTCATAATGTAGAATAAGCACCAGATTAAATATTTACAAAAACAATTGAATTGTGTGTTATGGAAAATAGACATCAATTTGAACAATTCAATGAATAAGTTACTGATTAATTCCGAAATTCAATTGTGTTAGTGAATATTTAATCAGATGCTTCCTTAGTTAACAAGTGATGGGATTATTTTTGTCCTCTTCATGGAAAAATCGAGTGGAATATTCCTTCAATCGAAACTTCTTTTGAATGGAAAATCCATAGCCCACTATTGAAATTGAATGTTTTAGTGATTTTGGAGCATTTTTGAGAACTTTATATTTATACATCATGTTCCATTTTCGAGTTAAGAAAATGAGGAATTTGATCAAATCATAAAATACAGGGTGTTCCATTTGAAAAATCATAAGTTTGAGTCGTATCTCCAAAATCATACCCCGAAACGAAAATTTGAGTGCGCCCCTGGATTCTGCGCAAAATTCTCTATGGAATAAGAATCCAATTTGACATTTTCGCTGAGAAACTTTGTAGATATAGAGAGGGTCCAAAAAGTATAAATTTCTCATGAACGCAAACAGTTATGCAGAATCTGATTATGCCATCTTGAGTTCCACAAAAAAGTAGCACAAGACCGCGAAAAGCGCAAGTTTTTGTCTCGAAAGATAACACATAACACATGAAAGCATCGAAAACTGGACACACTGTATTTGCCCTTTTTCATATTTCTGGACATTCGATATCCTCACAATCTATCTCAAAGACACATTTTATACTTATGAGAAAATCAATAAGATAATAATGCAATAGTAAGTATCGATATTGCACACAACTTTTTATCGACATATTATCTCAATATTACTAAACTTCATCTATTTTTTAACGGTAGGTCGTTTTCAACAAGAAGTTATTACTTTATTGCCCCTCTCGGATTGATGTTTTTCCGGTCTTCTTATCGTTTTGCTCTAAAAGTTTCCCAACGAATTATTACTCAAACTTTAACAACTTCTCAGTAAATTGACACCTGGCTCCTGAAATACCTTGAAAAGTTCGAAAGTTACGAATTCGACTTGGCATCTGCAGAATTCAATTTCGTTTTTTATTAGATAGTTTGGTACCTGTTAGTTCCATACGATAAAGGGTCCCTATTAAAGCTTCGGTACCTACTGGGTGAATCAATCCGGCAATCCACAGCTCTGTATCACGTGTAATCGAGACCCACTATTAAAATATAATAGTTTTGACTAAAGTTCACCCATTCATCAGTTGATGAAGAGATTATTGAATGAATTGATTGTCTCAATTCGATCAATTGGTATGTTAGTCACAGGCCCCTGAACAAATAGTGTCAATTAGTGAATTATTTTCATCGAATACATTGTAAAGTGTCATTCATAATAGTACATTACGTAAGATCTGTTGAAAGAAGCATATTACGCACGAATGGAAATGAGTATTATTATTATTATTAGATACAGCCTCAGTAAGTACGTTGCTCTTTACGTACAGTAAGCACATCGCACATTCGTTTATTCCGCCAGTATTCGCGAGATTCACGAAGTGGACGACATCTAGGTTACATAATACGAACTTCAAACTGGGGAAAAACAAACTGTTGTCTATGGATAAAGTGCATAGACTACATTGCATTCAGCTTGCTGTAGCTGTAGTCAAACTTGTCAATGACATAAAGTATTGGCACTGTTGGTAGTGATGATGGTTAATTTTTTTACATTATTACATTTGTTTAGTGAACAGTGAACGGGTGAAGAATTGTAGATAGTTCAAACAATCCAAACTAATCATGACGAGCACATCAATTGACATATAAAAGAACAGCTACAACATGTTTACAATACCCAGATTGCCCTGCTTTGCATGAACAAATACAAATCCATTGTTCTACAGGAGTTCCTCTTTACCCCAACTTCAATTTTACTTGATGTGGGGAAGATTTCATCGCCGAAGTTGCAAAAATGTGCCTTTTGTTGAAGTCTTCTGCCTCACATAAAATCACATGATTAGCACGGAGAACTGCTTCTCCTTCAACTGGTCGGCTTTTTCCATCTGAATAGAGCAAAATATCTGCCAAAAGAACATCTACAACAGGCATTATTAGCGTTTTCGATCGAATATTGACAATTAATGTCAAGAAATGAAAAAAAACTTATCAGTACATAGTACACAAGCTGATGGCACTAATGTGATGGAGTGAGGATTGAGTTTGTTTTCCCCCAGTTTTGACGTGGCTTTGACATGGAACGATGAAAACCAAGCGCCACCTGGTATCATTGATTCCCGCGAATAGGTATGTCATGATCGCGTAATCGCCATCAACAGCGAATGACATAACTGTCAAGAATTATAATTCATACTCTTTGTCCAAGCATACCCTGAAACTGTTGGATTTTGTCCAAAAAAGGGCAATTCGTCTCGTGGGTGATGCCTCGCTCACAAACTCACTCACTTCTCTGGAACACCGTAGAAGAGTTGGCGATCTGGCTCTATTTTATAGATATTTTCATGGACGATGCTCTCCTGAAATACCAACAATTGTTCCTACCTTGGCAGTCCCCGCGAGATTAACCCGTCGAGTTGAGGCTTCGCACCCCTTCGTGTTCTCTTCGGAGACCTGCAGAACATCTCTTTTCGAAGACTCGTTCATCCAACGAACAGCGAGACTCTGGAATACATTGCCAAGGGAGGTGTTCTCCGAAGCATATAACCTCCAGAAAATTTAAGAAGAACATCAATTCCTACCTTATTTCCCTTGGTTCTCACGATGTTCTCGAAACATTACAGGACAACCCCTTTTCGTGGAAACCAGAACATAAAAAGAACATATTCAATCTAACATGATTCTCTATAAATCTTTGTTGTTACAGGGCTCGTGTGAAAAGTGGGGTTCATCTGTTGGAAGCCATCCCATCAGGTGCATCTGCCTGGAATGTCACTGTGGATATAAATCCCAGACAAACTGCTGCAACCATCACTCTCGTCAGAAGAGAACCACCAGATTCCGAAAGTACTGCAAATGTGGGAGAGTAAGTACACAGAATATTTCTCTATATTGTGTGAACAGGAAAGCCTTCATGATTCACATACTTGCTAGGTCTGTATTTCATTCATTCCCGGGATCTGATTGATTGGATAACTCGAGAAATCACGGCCAGCAATACTTTTTTGTCTCACACAACGATAATGTTTACCTTCATTTGATTACCAAGCCGAATACAGTGGCATATGGAGAGGAATGAATAATCGCTATTATTATTGTTGATATGCGCATTAACCTAACATTTTCCACTTATTTTTCCTAGTTTCTCACCACACGGATTATTTGTTGCATTGCATACATATGGCACGGAATCCACGTTTGGGGTATAGTATTGAATTCGTGCCTGTAGTATCTGAAGTAAAGTCATCGCCTTCCAATATTCTGATGTATAGTACTCTGAGGTCTTGCTTCTATCTACTTACCTAAATTATTTTAATAAAGGTATTATAATAATCTGTCAAGTAAGTCACATTGGTGGTTACTTCACATGTTTATTTTAGTTAATTCAATCGGTTGCAGAAAAAATAGCATGATTGTTTCATTCGAATTAAAAGTGACTTGGTAAGATGAGAATGCAAAATTCGCTTGTCAAACAAAGTGTCACTTTTGATCCCAATGGAACGATCTACTTTTTTTCCTGGAGATTAAGATCAAGATGTAAGCTGTGAAGTGTGCATCTCCATCTCGTATGAACTTATATTATATTTTGAAGCAGCATATTTCCGATCTAAAAATCACCCAATATATGTCTTTATGTATTACAACTTCGAGTATGTCATATATTCTAATCGGTCATTGAAATTCTGTTCGAGTCTCTCCTGCATTGTCCCGTTTAAAGGTCACAGACTATAGGAGGAATAGCAATTCACCATATATGTTTCTATGTATCCACTCCAGGAGAAATAGTGCCATACAATGGGGAAGACCACTGAGAGAAGAAATCCGTGCAAACCTCTTTCAATCGACGAATCATGATTTACGTTTGATGTACAATCAATATTATGAGTTGAAGTTGAAGGGAATCGAATCTATATCGTTTTGAAATCAGCATATTTCATTCGATATTTCAAACAGCCAAATATGATGGTCGAGTCGTGACGTATTAGTCCCGAACTGTAGCTATCTCTCTCTGATACCTCGTCATTCTGCAGTGTTGCAATGTGATTGGTCAGTTCAAGGACAATAGGCGTGTTGGGAATAAGACGTCGCACCAGTCACACCAATGAATTGACAAAACTTCAAATAGCGCAGGAGCTGTGTGTTTTGAAATGGACATATTCTAATTTATTAATTTCATCGTCGTAGCATGAATGACGAAATTCAAAATTAATTCGCTGGTAGTTTTTCAGTATAGAGTTCACGATAATGTCATTTTAAAAAAATCAGTGGCCTCCCTCATTTTCAATGTAGGTATGAAATAATTCGAAATATTAGTCGTCACGCTACAGCGGAATCTCATGAACTTTCTGATAATTTTATGTGCAAGATATAGTAATTTTCCTCACAAGTGCGGAAAGTGATACGTTCCCGCACGCGAATGCCGTTGACTTGAACGACACGAAGCGGAGTTCAAGCAAGCAGTCGAGTGCGGGAAAGACACTTTCCGCATGAGTTAGGAACAATATTTTTTCTACTAGCGTAGGAAATTGATTGATTTGTTCAATCAATTATTCCTGCAAATAGGAACAACTAACAATAGTGATATATTCTCTATCTTCTAATAATTAGTGATATATCTATTGTGTGTACCGTTTGAAGCATTATGTAGGTAAGGTTGTTGCGGAAGGCATCATTCCCATGGTGTTTGGCCTCTAGGTTTCAGACATTTCTAGGAAATGAGCCAAAAATACTTCTTCTTTATTTGGTGTTTTCACTGTTTCACTATTGCACCATTCAATAAATCCCGTGTAGTGCTTCTCATACCTTTCTCAAGACTTCATTGGCAATAATTCATCTGTATCAAAATGACAGTAACGCTTTGTCTGTCACTCTGAGAATTGCACTAACTAATATGTGTTTTGATTGACATGAGAACAATTGTTTTCCACATCAGATCGATTAAAGGCTATAGGGGGATTTATATAACAATCAACTATTATTTGTCAATATTTCTTAATTTTCACAATGAATAATGCAATTTGATGGAAGAGTTTGTACAGTGCCGCATTTAGGGGGGGGCTATGGAACTATCAGCCCCCGGCGGTGAATTTCAAGAGGCGGTAGAGAAAGAGAGAAAAGAGGAAAAGCAAGCAGCAATACAGTCGTTGACTGGTGGAGATACTGTTTTTGTGAAAACCATAACATGCACTAATCTAGCGTCAGCTGTGTCGTGGCGTTACCATCGATAATCTCGATGGTAACGGTCTTGGACAATACAAAAGCGGCGGTGGTACATAGGTACTTTTATTTGATGATGAGAAGAAAAACTCAATAACAAAAAACAAAATCAGAGTGGTTATCCTCGGTATTGTTGGTAATGGTACTAATAATAAATAAATATTAAAACTTAAATTTAAAAAAATAGTAAAAAAGGTGGTGCATTCTGGAAACGGCAGAAGATCAATTAACAAAATCAGTTACATTCATTCTTTCTAAATTCAAATGAGACAGAATCAGAACCGATAGAACCGGGAATTTCACGATCTCAAGACAGGAATGGTAAGTTTTATATATTTTTAAATTCAATACGCGAAAAAGAAGAGTTAGAATCTCAAAAATAGATGATCAAAATATAAACACGACTAAGCGTTGTTTTAAGGATAATCACAACAAATTCATTGAATATTGGCAAATACTGAGAATTTTTTTACTATCCCTGATGATTCGTAATGCCAGTGGTGAAAGGTCACTACCTTAGGAATTCCATGGTAGAGGATATATTGAATATCTTATCAATTTTGAGTATTAACAGTGAGATGTTATTAAATCTGAATTTTGATGATGCCATTGACGACTTTGCATCAAAAAAATCAAGAAAATTATTTTAGTACCTATTCATCTGAAAAAAATATTTGTTGTTTGTTGTTATGTTTAACGTGTGAAGTAAATATAATTTGATTCGTTGTATATGATGATTTCATGTTATTGTTATATGCTGTAAAAAAAAACAGTGGAAGGATTATTTGAATTTTGAAACTGACAATTGAAAATTGAATATTTGGCGGCGGCGCGGCGGCATCGTAAAAGTTAGCCCCCGGCGTAAGGGAATGTAAATCCGGCACTGATTTTGTACAAACTAACTGAATACTGCAACAAAAAAACCTAAAATTCTCATATTATGTCACCCACCACTCATATTTTGCGAGAATATTATATAAACTAGTGTGGGAAAATTATTCCCGCACTACTGCGGAAAAATGACACTTTCCAAACTAAATTGCGTGCGGGTTCAGGGTGAATCACGCACGCTTGTAGAAAATAGTAATTTTCCTAACAAGTGCGGAAAGTGATTCTTTCCCGCACGTGACTGCCGTTGACACGAACGACGAGAAGCGGAGTTCGGGCAAGCAGTCGAGTGCGGGAAAGAAACTTTCCGCATGAGTTAGGAACAATATTTTTTCTACAAGCGTATAGGAAATTGATTGAATCGTTCAATTAATTATTCAAGCAAATAGGAACAACTAACAAGAGATATATTTTCTCTATTTATTAATTATTAGTAATAGCTATTGTGAACTTACAGTTTGACGCATTATGTTGGTTCATTGCGGAAGCCAGCAGGCCCATTAGGAGTTTGGTCTCATAGGTTCCAGACACTTCTATGAAATGAGCCAAATATACCTATTCTTCATTCGGTTTTTTCATTTCTTTATTGTTGCACCATTCAATAAAACGCGTGTATAGCTTCTCATACCTTTCCTAAGACTTCGTTGGTGATAACGCATCTGTATCAAATCCCTATAGCTAGAAGTTTTTGATCACATTGTGGCATTTCCACTGAATCGAAAATGACAGTAACGCTGTGTCTGTCACTTCGACAATAACAAACCCATTTGAGGTTTGATTGGCATGACAACAATAATCGTTTCCCTTCAGATCAATTCAAATCTATAGAAGGATTTTTATAATAATCAATTTTTATTTTTCAATATTTATTAATTTTCACAATAAATAGTACAATTTGATGAATGATTCTGAACATATATACTCAATACTAAAACAAACAAAGTCAAACTCTCATATTCCATCACCTACCACTTATATTTTGCCATATTATCATATCTTTGTTTTTCCCGCACTAGTGCGGAAAAAAATGTCCCGCACTAGTGTGGGAAAAATTTTCCCGCAATGTTGCGGGAAAATGACACTTCCCAAACTAAATTGCGTGTGGGTATAAGGTGAATCACGCACACTTGTAGAAAAAATATTTATTGAGATGATACATCACATATTATGGGAGCTTGTGTGGAACTCGTAATTCCCAATCTAGGCCAGTCATTGGGGATTTTTACCTGGAAAAAAGTCCGGAAGTTTTGAAACTTTGTAGGATTATAGTTTTGGGTGTCCAGAACTGAAATTCACAAAATGCACATTCCAGGACATGCCGCCGGCGCCGCCATCTTGCCAAGATGGCGCTCAAAAACGGTTTTTTGAAAATATCTCCAAAACGGTGCGTTTTAAGAAAAAATATGAGGACATAAAAATTTAAGATGAAGGAATTTTCTACAAGAAATGTTTCCAGTATATTTTTGCTGAAGTGAGCCGTTTAGGCCCAAGAGCTGATTGAAGAACATCATATTCTGTTAATTTCAATAAACTGCCCCTAACTATCTCCAAATAAGCGTATAAATTTATCTTTTATAATGAAACGGGTTATCTTATTGGTTTCTCGTTATATTTATAGCTTGCTGACAGAGGATATTTCCAATAAAATATGTTTCCAGAATATTCTCGCTAAAAGAAAGTACCTATATCTACGGATACATAGTATAGGTACAAAATTTACTCATAACCATCTTGCACCCTCATACTTCTGGAGCAAAGTCG